CAACTCTCTCACTCACAATTAATTTCAGATGTTTGTGATTCCATACAAGGTCTATAAATTTGCACTCAATATGCACAAATATGTGAGCCACCACAGAACATTTTCTCAGTCCTTTCTGAGAGTATTCTCCCAGGGTTGCCTCAAACTAGCCTGGCAAGCCAGATTAGTGTTGCCATTGACAAAACAAAATCATCTGGCGTATGGTGTCATTGTGTTAATATAAAAATGCTCCGTCCCAATGTCCATGCTTGGCATTAAACCTTCATAAATATTAACTGATGTAATCAAGAGAAGTGTCTCATTGTGAGAGGTTGTGAGGTCTTAAAATTCCTAATTTGGAAAAGGGACAGGTTTTATAAAATCCCATGTCACTAGTTTTTGTTACAAGTAAAGTGTGAGCCTTTCATATGTAGCCTAGTTTAATAAAACTGAGTGCTTGTTGTGGACCTTTTGAATAATATAGTAAAAGTTGACTGATTTGAGCTTTCAATATTTAAACTTCCCAACCTCCTTTCATTAAGATGAGCACTCAAGCTGTCTGTCAGCCATAAACGGTAAACACTGGGATCTTAACTTAACCATATGAAACCAAGGTCTGAACCCAACCATTCAATCATGACTAGGAATGTGGTAGGCTAATTGCCACCGATGTGAATCCCGCAGGTATGAGAAACTCTGTCTGTGGTGTCCTCGCTATGTCCTTCACTTGGGGGCGTTGTCAGATTGAATTATTGAAATGCTCCAAACAACTACAGTATTTGACATAGACACAGTGGTCTGCAGAGTTAGCCAGTAAACAATGCAGGGTCCCAGATTGTGAACATCTTGTGATCATTTTTTTTAAAGCCAGTGGTACAAAAATTAAAGAAATAGGAACCCATGCTTATTGCGAATGTGCCCTTTTATGTTTTTCAGAAGTCATAATGTCGTAACCTTGAGACAGTGTGTGTTTTTATTGTCCGACTGTCCAGCTTACATGTTGTCAGCATTTAGTAAAAACAGCAAGTCTTCTCCTCCAAATGGAGGGTCACATGCTGAGAGCGGTGCACAAAGGTATCTGCTTCATTGACCACCAACACTGACTGACTGGACCACTCAGACCAGCGAGCGCTGCTGCAGGTACGTTAGCATAACTAGTCAGATAATTTAGCTAGGTAACGTTAGTTGAATGTAATGGTTGTATAACGTGATACGGTCACTTTAATTGGTCGGGTAATATTCATTGAAATCTGTGTAATGTTTGATAGTGAAGGTAGTATAAGCTACTTGAATGTTTTAGATATACTAAGCTAAAGCAACAACTGAAATGTCAGTTTTGTCGGAGTACAATTCAATAGTCATAACTAGCTAGCAAATATGTTATCTTGTTAATACATCTTACCCATTGTGCTACCAAATGGTGAACACTAGGAATTTTTTCTTTTCTTCATCAACCTTTGCCCATGTTGTTCCCTCATTTAAGGACAACACCAGAAGACACCAGCCTTTCCTCACTGGCAGAGAATGGGGGGGGGGTGATCCAGGAAAGGTAAAATGAAGCCAAAGGACAGTTACCGTGCTGTGGTTTTCTGAGGAACTGCTGGGTCTGTAAAACATCTACAGTAGTGGCCATTAGACACCATTTTGTTTTTCATCAGATTGCCGTAGCTGTAATGTTTTGTTCCTTTGTAATTTTTTTGTTTTTAATTACTGGTACTTCATTAAATCTGAACTTTGAATTTTGGTTTTGCTCCAGCTGTTTAATATGTGAAGAAGCTAAAAATAAAATTTAAGATTTGTTCAAAGAGTAACTGTCTCATGTTTCTTTTTCTAAAATTTTGGGACTTTTAACTTCAAATAGTAAAGGAATTCTAGCTGAAGACCTTCTCCATTAAACAAAAAAATATTTTGTACAAACCAGTGTTAAAGTTGAAGTACCAGTATTGGTTCTGGTATTGAAAATTTCTTCACAGGGGAAACATAGAGCTCATTTTTCTCCTTCCTCCTTTCTCTTTACACAGCTTAATTTACACACATTCAGTTTTTTTGAGTAAACTGAGAGAGCTCCAACTAGAGAAAACAAATGCTCCATGAATTGAATATTTAATATGTGCTCTTAAAATTGGACTGGTGCTCATTAAGGTAAATATAGCCCTGCTATATGTGTCTTGGCATGTGAGAACAATACCTTTTGATGGGTAACTGACAATAAATTGGATTTAAATGAGATCTTCCATCAAATCAGTACCACTGTTGGCTGCCGTATAGCTTAATTCAAGCACAAGTCGTTATGTGGCCAGTGTAGGCTGCTATATTGAATTAATACTGAAGTGTATTTGTTCCAACATACATGCAGGAAAAAAAGACTGAAAGGTGTCCAGTGTAGAAACGATCTTGGTACGTGGAAATCATGACTTGTTTTGCACAATTTTAGTTCTGTTCCACTGCGATGTCATGCAGTAATGTTACAACATTTGAGTATTCTCCGAAGTCCTTGATTCAATGAACATTACTTATTTAAATCCAAATGAGATAACTTTTGTACTGCTACAATCATTACTGAAGCTTGTGTTGAGTCCTATTATGCAGTATTTAATTGGGTGAGTCATTGTCATTACCACATTTTGTTTATGATTTGATCATGCAAGAAATTCTTCATGCGATCAATTAGTCTTTCCCTAATTTACAAGATAACAAGAAGCAGTTCCACCACAAAAAAAGATGGAAAATGCCTTTTATGAATTTGTTTCAAAAAAAGATGAGGTTATCCGTTCATGGCCCAGTACTATGAACTTTCGTTCATAGCACTGGGCCATGTGCCTGCCGTCTTGGATGAAAACTGATCCATCATGGTGTAGACAGTACTGACAATTTTACTTAACGTGAATAACAACTGTGGAATACTAAAGCAGAATTAACTGAGGTGTGCCGCCAACCAGCATTTATACAGAAATGTACATCTGGTGTGCACATCATTAGAGTTCAACTGCTTTAACTTGGTCTCTTGTCCTTTCTTGTTTTTCAGCCCGCTGTTTGTCACATGGAAAATAGGTCTCTTGTTCTTTCTTGTTTTTCAGCCCGCTGTTTGTCACATGGAAAATAGGCAGAGACAAGCGGTTGAGGGGTTGTATAGGTACATTTTCTGCCATGAATCTGCACTCAGGACTCAGGGAATACACCCTTACCAGGTAAGCAACAAGCAACAAGTTATTTTCTGTGTTGCAAAGATGTAGACCAAATGCTGTTACAGAGCATGATTGTGGAAAAATAATGACACTGTAGTAAATGGTAAAAAAAAAAAAAAACTGTGACACAAAATAAATGTATTTATCTTTACTATAACTAATGTATGGACTGTTAAAGACATTAAAAATGTTTATATTCAAAAATGTAAAATGTGATAATAAAGAGTCCTTATTTAGTTATATTTGGCAGTCTTCTAGCCTTTCCAGATAAACACAGTGATGTGGGTTTACCCCCATGTTTGGTGGTTGATCTGAATGAATTATTGAGCTGGTGGGTTAAACACTGGTTGGGCACTACTTGGCTTTGGTGGACAAGTGTTAACAATTAGAAATCTGAATTCAGTGTTTATGTTACTGATATGTAATTGTCATGTAACACATTACATGACCTGTCTAACACATGAGCGAGACCCCAAGGGCTGGTGTATGTGGAGAACTGAAATTGGAACTTTTATTTTGCATGTCACTTGTTTTTAAAAAATCGATGCATGAAAAGACAGAGTTTTTCAAAGTAAACAGGGGCCTCTGTAAATACCTGGAATTTCTTCACTAGTGTTTCTTGACCTGAGGGCAGAGACACAGCAGAGCTGTGGATTACCTGTTAAACACATACAGCTTCTTAGTGGTATTAGTAGTAAAAACTGTGCTGCGACCACACTGGCCTCTGTATGTCCATAGGTCATCTACATTAAAGGCACTGCTGACCCTTCATCACTTGACTGTGATAATTATTTTCAGAATCACTTCTAGTAATGGGACAGCTGGGATTGGCTCCAGCCCCCCGCGACCCTGTGCAGGATAAGCAGTTGACGATGCATGGATGGATGGATGGACTTATGGTATTTCCTTTTGTGCTTTTATGTGTGCAGTGCCCTTAAAGACAGCCGCTTCCCCCCTATGACAAGGGATGAGCTGCCTCGCCTCTTCTGCTCAGTGTCTCTTCTCACCAACTTTGAAGACGTCGGTGATTACCTTGACTGGGAGGTAAGAGACATGCGCTGTCTTACTTTGGATACTTACGTTAGTACACTTGTATGTAGTACACTGTGTACACCAAGTACTTACTTGCATAGTGTGTAAATTTCGACTGGATAGTGGTATCTCACATCAAACACAGCCGTTATAACATTTGACCGCTTCTTTTTCCTTTTAATGGCGAATTGTAACCAAGGGGGTCATTATCGCCAACAGTTGACCGTGACTTTCACCTGCCAAAATATCTGGCGGCTTGTTTGCTCACTTGACTTCAATGTTATTAAAAGTTGATAAAAATTTGCATACTTTTACTTGTGTGTGTGTGTGTGTGTGTGCAATTGCAACTGCTGCAGCTTCTTCGGGCACCACGTTCACAAGTTTGAAAATAGGTTGGTGGTCCCTCCTCTTTCCACTATGTTGCCAAGATGGCGACTGTTGAGTGTAAGAATTGTCCAGCATTATACTCTGAACCTTTTGACAGTTACGAATGAACGCACTTACGCACTCAAAATACAGGTGCTGGTCATATAATTAGAATATCATCAAAAAGTTGATTTATTTCAGTAATTCCATTCAAAAACTGTAACTTGTATAATGTATACATTCATTCCACACAGACTGATATATTTCAAGTGTTCGTTCCTTTTAATTTTGATGATTATAACTGACAACTAATGAAAACCCCAAAATCAGTATCTCAGAAAATTAGAATATTGTGAAAAGGTTCAATATTGAAGACACCTGGTGCCACACTCTAATAGGCTAATTAACTCAAAACACCTGCAAAGGCCTTTAAATGGTCTCTCAGTCTAGTTCTATAGGCTACACAATCATGGGGAAGACTGCTGACTTGACAGCTGTCCAAAAGACGACCATTGACACCTTGCACAAGGAGGGCAAGACACAAAAGGTCATTGCTAAAGAGGCTGGCTGTTCACAGAGCTCTGTGTCCAAGCACATTAATAGAGAGGCGAAGGGAAGGAAAAGATGTGGTTGAAAAAAGTGTACAAGCAATAGGGATAACCGCACCCTGGAGAGGATTGTGAAACAAAACCCATTCAAAAATGTGGGGGAGATTCACAAAGAGTGGACTGCAGCTGGAGTCAGTGCTTCAAGAACCACCACGCACAGACGTATGCAAGACATGGGTTTCAGCTGTCGCATTCCTTGTGTCAAGCCACTCTTGAACAAGACACAGCGTCAGAAGCGTCTCGCCTGGGCTAAAGACAAAAAGGACTGGACTGCTGCTGAGTGGTCCAAAGTTATGTTCTCTGATGAAAGTAAATTTTGCATTTCCTTTGGAAATCAAGGTCCCAGAGTCTGGAGGAAGAGAGGAGAGGAACAGAATCCACGTTGCTTGAAGTCCAGTGTAAAGCTTCCACAGTCAGTGATGGTTTGCCATGTCATCTGCTGGTGTTGGTCCACTGTGTTTTCTGAGGTCCAAGGTCAACGCAGCCGTCTACCAGGAAGTTTTAGAGCACTTCATGCTTCCTGCTGCTGACCAACTTTATGGAGATGCAGATTTCATTTTCCAACAGGACTTGGCACCTGCACACAGTGCCAAAGCTACCAGTACCTGGTTTAAGGACCATGGTATCCCTGTTCTTAATTGGCCTGCAAACTCGCCTGACCATAACCCTATAGAAAATCTATGGGCTATTGTGAAGAGGAAGATGCAATACGCATCAGAGCAACCTGGGCTCTCATAACACCTGAGCAGTGCCACAGACTGATCGACTCCATGCCACGCCGCATGCTCATACTTTTCATGTTCATACTTTTCAGTTGGCCAACATTTCTAAAAATCCTTTTTTTTTTGTATTGGTATTGTAAGTAATATTCTAATTTTGGAGATACTGAATTTGGGATTTTCATTAGTTGTCAGTTTTAATCATCACAATTAAATGAAATAAACATTTGAAATATATCAGTCTGTGTGTAATGAATGAATATAATATCCAAGTTTCACTTTTTGAATGGAATTACTGAAATAAATCAACTTTTTGATGATATTCTAATAATATGACCAGCACCTGTAGCAAGTATGGAAGCGTGAACTGAGACACAGCAATGGTTTGCTAAAACATTTGCACTGAGAATAGTGGTACGTCACAGCTTAAATGCTCATTTATAGGTGTCTCCCTCGTTCTGCTATTAATACACACCAGCTCCTGCTCTGTTTTTGGGGTTGTTAATTACCTTCTAACAAGACTAAAACTATGATGGAGATTGAAGTCCTTCCCACGCTGTAACCTGTTTGAACAAGTGCAAAAACATTTCAACATTTCTTCATATTGAACAGCTTGTTCTTTTTACAACTTTAAGTTTGGTGGATAGAGAAATATATGGGGTGAAAATTACACTTTCTCTTTGTCGTGCCTGTTTTGAATTCCAGGTGGGTGTTCACGGTATTAGGATAGAGTTTTTCAATGAAAAAGGATCAAAGCGCACCGCCACCTACCTACCGGAGGTTGCAAAGGAGCAAGGTGAGATTATTATTATTTTTTTTTAGTTCCTCTAACAGTCCAGCTTTTCACTAGATGTTGCTAGATGTGGATATTCAGGAATGTGTAAAGAGAATTAACTCTCATTTTATTAAGGTTGGGACCACATTCAAACCATAGATTCCTTACTACGAAAGGGAGGTTACAAAGCTCCCATCACAAATGACTTCAGGAAGACCATTAAGTTAACCAGGTGAGATTACACTTACTGTATTAAATTACCTACAGACATGCTGATATATGAATATGTCACTGATGTACTCTTTGTTTGCCACATACTTTCATTTGGATCCATGCCCAAACATAAGACAAAATACTTACATGTTACCAGATGGGTCCAAAGTCTCCAGTTAATGTACATTACTATGTTAGAGTTTTGCCAGCCAAGCAGAATTAGCAGAGCTCAACCTTTTTTTCTTTTTTAGAGTATAAAGCTTACACCAATTCAGATATGGGATCTAGATCAGGGTTGTCCTCCTTTTGAGATACAGTATATCCTCTGCCACTCAAGTTATTCAAAGGAGAACTCCCAACAATTTTAAGTTTACAGGTCTTGAAGAGTGCAACAGGATATGTGAAAAAAGAGTTGTATAAAGAAATCTGAGGAATTTCCTCAAGTGATGTCACTTGAGTCAGCGTCTGCTGGGGATGAAGACTACAAGTTTGAAACTGAAAAAAATCTGGAGGCGTGGAGTTAGAAAGAAGTGAACTTACCAGACCTCTGAAGCCCACCCCTCATCTCTGCTGAGGCTAGCGGCTACATCAGCTGCTAGAAGCATAACTGATCCACATCTCCAAGTGAACTGTTGGCGGCCAAGTTGCATTCTTGGTAGGGCTGTGCGATATGACGATATCTATCGTTTGACGATAGAAAAATGTTCGTATACAATTATGCTCTATCGCTTATCATTGTGTCGCAAATTCCACACTTTGCCATAATATTTTGGTGAAGGACCGGTGATGTTAGCTTTACGTTGGAATTTGACATCTACCATACAACATAAAACAAATATCCAACTTGAAACTAACTTCACCACGGTCTGTTCACATGCCGGTGCTGCGGAGAAGAAATTGCATTAAATATAATGGACGAGCCACACAACACTATCCAGCAGTTTATCTGGATATAATTCAATTCAAATTAGCTTTATTGGCATGAATGTAATAACAACATTGCCAAAGCATCATATATACACAACATGAGAACAATCAGCCCCATACAGACATACATACATAGATATATATTGTTGTTATGATATGAAATGACCTATATCGGGATATGAATTTTTTGCCATATCGCACAGCCTTAATTGGTGGTAATGTAGGACCCCATTTTTGACCTGAAAGAAGAATGCATGGAATACAATAGACCATATTTTTTGTGTCTGTCCTTTGTGTGACAATGTGCAGTGCTAAATCAATGGAGTACTTTTCCAAGAAAAAATTATAAATATTTGTTGTTCTGACTGAGATTTGTTGTTCAATAGTAGATTTCTGAGAAGTCTAGAAATTGATTCATCTGTGTTCAACAGATTGTACACGGTCACAGTAGATGCCGTCTTGTGTTTCGGTGCAGACTGTGGCTGGTCATGTCAATTTTGTTTATATAGCCCAATATCACAAACCATAATTTGCTTTAAGGGATTTTACAGTCTGTACAGCATACCACCCTCTGATCATAACTTTCCTAACATGACCTGAGGATCCGCTAGCCTTTACCAAAACATCTTTTTTCCTTCTAAGGTACCGTAGCGAGAAGATGACAATGGGTTATGCAGAGTACATCGCTCACCGCCAGCACCATCACTACCAGAATGGCATTGGGCACCCTCTACCACCCTACAACCATTATTCCTGACAGCGAGCCGCATGACCAATCATTGGACCTCTCCGCGGACCTTTTCCCAGGAGAGCCTGCCCCCTCCTGGTCTAGCTATTTCTACTACTGTACCATTTTATGATGATAGTTTCCGTTGCCATGCTGGCCGTCTCCTAGACGTTGACATGGCAACGGGTGGCAACGAAGCATCATTTGATTATGGCAAGAAATCCATGTTTCTTTTTCTTTGCCCGTGGTTACGTTTTTGCAGCATATGTATATCTATATTATAACCCCCTTCATTCATATTTTTTGAAAATTAAAACAAATACTTTTATTAATCTTACGTATTTTCAGCAAACCTAATCAGGTGTTTGATTCTGTGGATGGAAGGAAGTCTCTTAAGGTGGGTTAGCCTCGTGCTTATATTGTTTAGGCTTTGCTACATTTTACATTTACTAAGAAAGTCTTTCTTTTTTCCTCTTATTTATCTTACTATCCAGACATGTATACCATGTAGCAAGGCAACTGCAGTTCTCAAAGGCTGTATCGTCTCTATTCCAATTCCGCTCTCTCAAAAAAAAGATTGACTGTTGAGGTTGTTTTAGCCTTGTAAACTCTTGTAGTGTTGTAGTTGGAACTATATATTGGGACTTGTATACTCCAAAGTATAGATAATAGGATTGTGACGTTTGACCAGGCTATGCTGGTAGTGTTTATTGTTTAAGCTCACAATCGTGTGTATTTCTGTGTGTGGATATAGTTGTTGGTTTGCCACCAGGAAAAAAAACAGCAGAGTCAAGTAGAAATTGGACTTTAACTAAAGATTCCCTACAGTGATTTTTTTGTTTTTTGGAAACCAGCCCCTAAGTATTTGGAGTGTTTTTGTGGTGGAACCTGGAAACCTTGTTTGGCTAAAACTAACAGCTGTGTTTCATCTTTTTGTTACATTTTTTTAAAAGATAATTGTGGAGGAAGCCATTTTGTCTGAGGATGATCATGACCGATTTGTTAATTATCGATGTAAAATGGGCTACAAGTGGGTCTGACTTCCCCACATTGGAGAGTGGGAGCAGATGTAACTATAGGTCCCTAGAGGGATACAAGAGTGTGCACGAACAATGCTTTCATTTAAATTTACTGTGTCTGTTGGTTTCTGAGTTTACTGGCAGGGAATCACTTGACAGGGACACGCTATAACTACTTAAAGCCATATTCTCTTTTTATTCCACACTTTGTAAGAGTAGACTCTTGTTTTACAAGTCAAACAAGGTGGTTTCAGTCATTAGTAGGATGTTTTCTATATTGCCTGCCCATGTCATTGTGGAAACTTTGTCTTGCCTTTTCATATCCTAGCTAACCATTGTCACTAATCAAAGTATGATGTATTAAAATTGTCATTTTGAATGAAGACGCACCACCTTGACGCACAAAGGAAGTGATCTAATTAACATGTTTGTGTCAGTTAGAAGTGCATGCCATTAGGCTATTTAGATTCAGTTGCAGTTATGCATCTAGTTGATTAGTTGTTGAAACCGCACTTCTGCACTGTTCTCCTGTAATAGTCTGCTGTTCTGTGAGATCCCGTTGATCTGTGTCCACAGCACAGGAAATGTTTAGATTTGTGGTCTGTTTTGTCAGCTGTTTGGCACTAGGATAGCACATACACAGTTGAATTAGATAGAGTTGTATCTCTGCATGGGGCTGGACGGCTTGCAGTTACGGTCTACAAATAACCAGGACTTTGTATGGACTAAAGAAGCCATTTGCCATCCAAATATTACTTGTTGTGAGTCACATCCACACACAGTAGGCTAGTTGGATTTACTTTACAGAATGTTTGAACTGTGATCCACTTGCTTTGGGTTCAGTCTTAGTTTTGCTAACTGGAATTTTTGAGAGGTTCTTGTTACTGGACCAACATCTTTCTTCGTAACAGCCTTTACTAACTGACAGGTTATTTTTCTTTATGCAAAACGTCAAGGGCTTTTGGCACTCCATCCACAGTAACCCGAAATGACCCAGATTTAAGTTGTGTTGCCTTAAATGAATGATTTAATAAATGATGGAGCAGTAGATGATGCCCTGAGTGTTCCTCTGTCCCATGGTTTGCTCTTTCCCAGTTCCATCTTCACACCACAGTGTAGGAAAGGGTCTCAGATGATGTTTTCCTCACTTGAATGTTATGGCTTTCTTTGAAATGTGGGGGCTCTTGTATGCCTGCAGTCTCCTGTTTGCTCACGTCTTACCCAGCTGCTGGTCCTCAATTCTTTCATTTTAGAAAGCCCCGTATAGACACATTCTCTTAAAATAATGTTGGGCACTGTGGTGTTGTTAGCCTAAATGTTTAAACCATGGGAAGACAATTTCATGCCTCGAGTAAAATGTACGCTTTTATGATAAATACACTACAACAAAAGCTTCAAAGAGGAACTGTCAGGCATGTATTTTCTGGTCCATTTAATACAGCACAACCTGAATTTTCCTGCTGCAAAACCAAATTGACCATGCTCTTTTACATATATATCTTTGTATACACATGCAATGTATTTTGTTGCATGTATGTATGAGTATGAGACCTATGGTTTTATCCATGATATGCTTGATCTATGGCTTAGACACTCTTATTAACCATTAAGAGATTTAAAAGACAAATATGGTGCTATCGGACCTCATATTGGGGTGGTCACAGCTCGTGACTGGTCATGCGGACTCATTGATCATATCATACTTAAAGATGCTACATGTAAGATTTTCTCTTTAGTATATTGCTGTAAAATGAGTTCTGACAGCACATTTTAATATTGAAGGATGTGACTGTCACTGATACAAACAGTAGCTCCAAGAACCTGTGCTTTCATCAAGTCCAACGGGGGAGATTTTGGGATCAATTCCCTATGGGAAAAACAGACCGATATTCTTACACACATAATGAAGAAGTCGTCCTTGCAGCAAACCCGTCATAGGGGCTATGGAATGTACTGTTAATGGCTGTTATTACAATTTAACAATGATATATTGAGAGAAAATCCTACATGTTACCTTTTACTATCCTTGATATATGCAGATCTGTTCAACAGGTGTTTTTTTTTTTTTTTTTCCTACCAGTGCAAGTCAACACCCCTGCAGGTTTGAAAGGACAAGAAGTCACATGTAGCCTCCTTCCCCTTGATTACTCCCCCACTCTATGGCCCGACCTCATGGCCTAGTTTGTCAAGGTATGATGTGTGTCGTTTGGTAGATGGTGGCAGTAGTAGTGGTCGTTGCCTCTCCTGGAAGATTGGATGCTGCTATTTCAGAGCACATCCTCTGTTTTCCTTTAGCTGCTGAATCGTTTGACCTCCGCTGAAAAGGCAAGGTTTGATTTATTGACTAGTAAAAAGGTCATCATGTTGAGACTTTCACAGCCTCTCAAACTATGTTGAAGGTAAGCATCTCCTATAATGGGATGCAGAGTTAATGTTTTTACGTAGAACACGCAGAAAATAGTCCTGCTTCTGTACTGATTAACTGTTTAAAGCATTGATACCTCATGGGATATGATGGAACGACGTGTAGTTTGTTGTAGCAGATTGTGTTTCAGTTCCATACCAGGGTTAGAGTTCAGCCTCAGCATTCCTTGTGTGATCGTTCTCAAATTTCGCGGAATGCTCAAGCTCATGTTACCTTCGTATGTTTGACTGAACCAAAGATGCCAGCGGCCATGCCCAAATGCTGCTCTTCAGGCCTGGCTTCCTGTCCTTCCAAAAGACACCCCTGCAATTGACAAAATGTTCTTTGTCTTCTTTTTTTGTGTGCGCGATTTCTCAACTGTCTTGACTTATTAAGCAATCCAATTTTTCAATGAATTTTCATTGTATCTATCTCTGAAGCCGTACATGGCATCAAGGATGGTTAAAATGGTTGCAAGTTGTTGTTACTTGTTTTGTTTATTATTATTATTGGTATTAGTATTATTAGAATTATTGCTATAATTTACAAAAATGAAAATCCCATGGTGTGCCTCCTAGCTTTATGGGTTTATAAATGTTTTTCCCTAAAGACCAGCAGTTATACTTTGTATAAAAGATGGATTTTTCCTTATTTTTTATGCCATTAAAGATGAAAAAGCCTGTTTTCTTTACTCTGGACCCAGTAGCTGCACTGGTATACAATCGCACTGATAGAAGAATAAAAAAAAAAAAAAAAGAATCGATAATAATAATGACAAATGAAATAAGAACTACAATAAACTTGTGTTTGAAACTTTTATTAAAAAAAATTTAAAAGAAAATAAAAAAAGAAAATGACTGTTTTTGTACATCAAAATAAATTCTTTTCAAAATAATATTTTGGATCTAGTTTCAAAATTATTTTAGTGGTTTTCTATGTTCTGAATTTTTCAGACACTGACTTCCAAGACGTGTCGCTGTACAAAATGACTTTTTTCTGTTGCAGTGGCCTGATGGGCTGGGAGGGTTGCCTGGTGTAACTCCTCATACCAACTTTTATTTCTTTTTCTTTAAATTTTTGGATCTTTTTTTCTCTGCTTTAGTAAATTGAAAAATGTTGATGGAATAATATGAACTGGGAACTTAAAATCCATCCCCTGTAGAGCTAGACCCTTCATCCTTTCCTATTGAATTGCTGTTAGTGTGATGCGACTTGAAATGGGCATTTATAATGATAGTATGACCCCCAAAAGAAAAAACAAAAGAAAAAGAAACTAGCAAAAGAAATGTGTGGGGAGGGTTGAAAGAATATATATATATATAGATGGGTTATCTGAGTATGTAAGCAATGGCTGTGAAGATAATGTAGTTTTAAACATTGTTATTACCTTTTAAAATCATTTATTCAATAAAAAATACAAAATCAATTGAAAAGAGAACATGTGTCATTCTATTTTCTTTCAGCACATACATCCACTGATACAGATTACATTGCATATATCATTTACATTTTTTTAAAAAGCCTCTTATTTTGCCATTTGATATTGTGAGATATTGTGCATAGTGAGTGGGTTACATTCAGTTCCAGAGAACATCAACACTAAATGTTAAATTCATGAGTTATTGGTCCAACTTGACAAGAATTGTATGGTTAAGTTATTTTGTCAGTTACAGATCACACTTCCTTTTTTTTTTTACTTAAACCTGTCCTGCCCAGCAGCCTGGTATAGAGTATGATGAGCTGGATACCATATTGTGCCAGACAGATTTACTTTAACAAGAGAGTATTAATATACTCCTTTGTCTGTTTTATTATTTATTTAATTATGTATTGATTTGTCACTGGGCCGGACAGGGGGGCAGACACGAGGATAGGGGGGCACAAACAGGCAGCACAGAGAAAGGACAACACCTGTAAGAGAAGGGGGATGGAAGGTGGGGACAACAGGGGAAAGCAGCGGGAAACACCAATTGCAGAAAGCAACGAAACCTGCAATAGAACAGAGAGGGGGGAGATCACACTTTCTTGATTAATGTCCATATTCTGTGTCAACATTTTGTATCCCGTTAGACAACATTTCAGTTGCACTGTATGGCCTCAAATGATAGAATGATTGGTAACATATGTAAACACAGTGACCGTAACCATGTGAATATCACCCTTGGATCAGGAACGTTATATCGAATTAATCACCTGTGGGTGTGATGTCACCCGCTGCACACTATATGTATGTAAACATTTGTTTTATTTCATTTCAGTGAATCTGTAACCGTGTGACAACAGTATACCAGATCAGTCACAAGGAGAGTGACTTGACACCACCTACAGGTCAAAAGCAGTACAGAGGCAGACAAGCAACATCTTAGTAAAACATAACCCAGTCATTTGAGTTGAAGCACTTTATTGCCAGCAACTGTAAGGTAAACAAAAGGAGTCGGTCTCTCCAGGCTAATGGTAAAAAGGGAAAAAATAAACTGGTGAATGAGCCCATGCTCCTAAAATCGAATGTGAACAAAAAAGGGCCCAGACAGAGAACAGAAACAAACCTCAAGCATCTGCTGTGGCCCCAAGGACAGATGAGGGGATAGTGGATGAAGCCAGGTTCAACCATTAAAAGCTGGTGAAAGTTGGTGAGTATGTCCAGCCCCGAAACAGACGCCCATGAAGTGGCCATTCCCCTGGGGGGGCTTTAATTTTCTGCAATTTCTTTGCGCCCATTTATTGAGGAAATGTCTCAGGTGACAATTCAAAATAAGAGGAATATAGCATTTTCTGCACCAATTTATGGTGGAAATGTCTTTACTTTTAGAAAGGGAAGGACAAAATTTAGGTGGCAGGTGACAATTCAGAATATAAAAATATAATAGAATGTAATGCAGTAATCAGTAACTTATTATTTATGTTTTTTAGCTTATATCTATATATCGGTTATTTACGAGCATTTGGGGAATTATTATTTTTTTGGATCACAACACAAGAAACAGCTGGAACAGAGGGGGAGGGAGTGGGTGCTGTAAGAGATGTGATTGGGCCATCCCAGTATAGGCCTATGCTTTATGGGCCGATCGTTGGCCCATTTTTTAAAAACAGTTAGGCCTATATAAGTAAATAATTTGACTTGTAGCCTACTCAATGAGAGGAGCACACTGCTGTTCATCAGAGGAAGAAAACCGAAACTGAAAACACTTGTGATCAGACAGGAATATCACCATAATTCCACACTAATGTTCACTTCAGCACCTCTGATAAAGTTTAGCTCACATCTGCTTTAGAGGGAATGAAGCATCCTGGAGCAGAGAGACAGTCAAACAGAGCAAAGTGTCTCTGAGCGAGAGGGAGAGAGACAACAGGAGGACAGGTGTCTGTGTCACAGTCAGGTGTGTCGTGATATTCTCTCACTACTTTGCGGCGACTGTTAACCGTTTGTGTAGCTATACACTGACTAGACACTGACCAACAACATTTATATTTAAATGTATTGATTACAATTTTGCTAGGGACAATTCAGAAGTCGCGGATAAGTCCTGAAGCTGTGAGCAATGCGCTCTCTCTCTCTCTCCTCTCGTGCTCATTCTAAACGCAGGCGGGCTGAGTAATGGTAAACAAAATGTAGCACTATTATTAATAGCCACCGCTCTTTGAAGACCTGCGAGACAGACTGCATCATGAAGATTATTGCATATTAGCCTGGAAATTTTTTTTGTTGCTGTTGTTGAGTTACATTCCGGGCTACAGTCAAAACACTACTGAAAAATGATCTGGCAACGCAGATGCAGAGGGCCACACAGGGCACAAGTTGTGAAGCCTCTCAGCCTCTGCAGAAAGGCACCAAAGGCCTTGAGACAAAATTCCTTGCCAGGACCTTTGGCTGAAAAGCCAGGTTTGGTAGAAGGCAGACAGTCCTGTCCGCATCCCCAAACCTGAGACATGCTATATCTGCAGAGAGAGCGATGTAGTAACAGCCAAGAGGACAACATCAACAGAGTAGCCGATGGTCAAGACAGTGACTCAATAAGGGGCACACAAAGAGCTCTGAGAACCACCTGGTGGTCCCAGGAGGGTAGTAGGAACCTCCAGGATGGTCTACTCCGCCTCAACCCTCTTACAAATTGTGCAGCCAGAGGATGCGCTACTGGGGACACACCATCACTTTTTCCATGAACAGTCGAGACTGCTGATAGTAGACTCTGCCTGACCCAGGGCAAAGAGGTGCTGGAGGAAGGACAGAATTACAGAGATGTTACAAGCTAAGGGATCTCCCCCCTTAGCACAGCACCAGTCACTAAACACCCTCCACTTGCTACTGTACTGCAGCCAAGTGAAGGGGACCTGCGAAGCTTACAAGGTGTCTATAACCTCTCCATCTAGGCCAAGGGTGTGTAAACCGTTCAAGGGCCATACAGTACATGAAAGTTCAGGGTCTCTGGGTGCCGTATCCTATCCCGCACCTGGGATGGCATATCTTGTCTGACTGGAAGATACCACAGGTGGCCCACAATGGCCTTTGTGGCCAATTTGGCTCCACCAAGAGTACCCAAGCACACAGCAGCCTCACTATCCTGAGGAAAACTGGCAGGAGGAATGCCTTCTCGGATGGCCGGTGCTTGCCTCCACCACGTGAGGACCCTGAGGTCTCCATGGGACAGGGTAAGTGTTTTGGACATGTCTCCAGGCAGGTAGACCGTTTGGCGTCCAAACCAAAGCTGGAGCAGGTGTGTGCAGGCCCAGAGGCACAACCTGGGCAGTTGCCATGAAGAGGCCTAACATCCATTGGTACTACACATACTTGTCAACTCTTCCCGGGATTCTCCTGTATTTTACCATTCTCTCCAAGTATCCTTCTGTTTAAATATTTTCCTGCAAATCTCCCAAATTTTTTACCTTTCTAAAAAACTAAACCTGCTGGGCATATATGAAATGTTTGCTACATTCCCCTCCGGTTAAGCAGGTGGCAATATGTAGAACATTAGCTGTAACAGTGACGGGAAGTCAACAGCACTATGCAATAAAAGACCAAGAGCAGCAGTGCAAGGGGACCAGGACGGATAATGCAACAGCATATTTCACTCGCATATGCCCCTAAAAATAGATCCGTGGGAACCTGAAAAATGATTGACGATGTGCGAGTAAAGACTACAATCTACAGTAATCATTCTGCATGAATGGTTATGATTATTGAAAAGTTTGTATTTAGCATTACTAAATTAGAGACCAATGCAGACTGTGATGCACTCTGTGATTGCCTTCCTTCTCTTTAGGGTCAAGCAAGTCTTTGTGATGACTGAATCCAGAAATACTGGCTGAGGCCAGCCGACTCTTTTCTGCATCCAAACAAAGCCCGAGAGCAGCCAGATGTGGCACCACTGTGGCAACACAGTTGTCCGGATAGTTGAACACCCAAATGCCCTTCCGCCGCAGAGGAATAAGGGCATCATCCATGCATTTTTGGGAATGTACATGGTGATAGAGACAGACCAAAAAGGAAATCTAAAGGAACTGCCTGTGTCCTGGACTGGGAAGGTGAAAATAGGCATCTCGGAGGTCCATTGTTGTGAACCAATCGCCTACCCTTATGGCTTGAAACAAAGCCCCCCAACCTGAGCATCTGAAAGGGAAGCACCTTGAGCTATCTGTTCAGCTGCCTCAAATCCAGAATCGGATCCCCCGGTCCATTTCAGGACGAATGAAGTAGCTGGAATAAAACCCCTGTCTTACTTTCTCTTTAGTACCATTTCCCAGTTAGGCAAAATCTTGTTGGCCAGAATGGCAGAGCGGGTTGGAGATAAGGAGACAGACTTTTAACTGCAGGCGGTAGTCAGTCAGTGCACTCCCAAGAGTGCTGGCGGAAACGCTGGCTGCCCACACCTGCTGCGGGGGAAACCCTTGCCTCAGAACTCTGGGAGGAGCTCTGCTCTGCAAAATGAGGCCTCTGGAGACTTCCACGCCTCTATAGAGGTCCGTGAACCACAGGCCTCAACTGTCCAGGCTTAGTGGATGGACCATGTGCACAGTCTGACTTTCTGGAACTCATTCACAGGATGAAGGCACTTCTTATTTGGGTGGTGGGCATCTCTACTGCCTGCTAGTGGAGCGCCCACCTTCATCACACCATCCAGGCTGTGCTCTGCAGCACCATTTAGGATACTGAGTGCAGAGCTGGGTGCAGTTGCCAGGTTACCTGAGGCAGCAAGGACATACAGTATATGGATGAATATATGGAGGAGCCAGGTGTCCAAAGGAGGTGGTGATTTGCAGCCATGCATTCAATGGTCTTACGCATATCCTCCAACTGTGTAAGTCCACCCTTGGATCACAGATCTGGTGCTGCTCAGCCCACTTTTGCTTATTACTGAGCTTCTTCTCTCCAGCTGAATTTGGGGGAACTGGACCCCGGCCATATAGCATACCATCCTCCAGGTCTCTGCCCCTCTTA